TACTTATGTCCCAAGATAGTTCACTGAGAAAAGTTTGAGGGAAAACTTTTTTCCGACCAGAAATGCAGTGGACCGCTTTTAGAGAGACTGCCACTTAAATGGGATTTTTGGCTTGATTTTAATGTTTGTCATTTATCCATTCAACTGAGCCGTAGTTAGCTTGCGGGGAGGCTCTCGTGTTTTGGGCCGGGAACGCGAGCGAGAGAGACACGCGAGACACCACCTCCCCCCCCCCGCCACGTCTTTCGTTCCGATCCGCAACGCGCGTCGTTCGTAAACTCGCTCGCACGCCAAAGCGAAAAGCCAGATAGCTGCGCAGGCTAAGCCGTAGTGTGTAGATTATCCTATTATTTACATGATACTTGCACCCTTCACTCCAAGTCTCTGCCATGCTCGGGCCACTCTGTTAAAACTTAAATTTTTAATTTCAAGTTAAGACTTAAGTCTTAATAGGTACGCTTGTGCAGGTGCTTAAGTATGATGCCATTGTTGTTTCAATATAAGTTATCATCTTAAGATTTTTACCGATCAGTTCTTTCGAAAAATTAATAGTTGCCTAACGTGTTTATATGAAGTGCTGAGGTAAGACTTTCCTCTTAATTTCACATTCAAACGAGTGTCACGTAGTCTTGAAAGAGATTTGTATAGGTCTTGCGTTGCCTTTTCCTGTGCGGCTTTCTTTCAGGCTTTCACGGTCAATTGTTTTCGGTGTCGTACCGAGACGAACGGTCAGGAGCCCCTCGGACCACGTGACCCGAAAACGATTGACCGAAGCGAAATATCGAGGCCTAGAACTAGGCAACTAAAGGCAAGGTCTTACGTGGCTTAGGAAAAATAACGGACTTCCTTCTTTCTGTCTTGTGCTCAATAGAATCCAAGAGTTATAGGGGAGGGGGCCTTATTTAATTTGAATTTTCGTTAGGCCCGAGAAACCTTTAACTTGAACTTTTTCATAGCTAGCTCCGCAAACGGGTAAGATGAACGATATCCTGGAGTGTGATTGGATACCCGAGCTCAGAAAAATGGTGTTCTGTACACCATTTGATAAATCCTTTGTTTACCAAACTTGTTCAGTCAAGATGGCTGGATATTGGCCTCGTTATTTTCATGCCTGTTTATGGACCGAGACGCAGTTGGCCAATATCTTGTCACCTAGACCTCTCAGTCAATAAACCATATTTATTATATGGCCAGCTCCGTCAGCGGGCAAGATGAATCAAATCCTGTGCTGTGATTGGCTACTCTAGCGGGCAAGATGGAACTATCTTGCCCGGTCGGGACTACCCGCTGTGTCCCGCAAGGAAAATTTCCGCGAAAGCGATATAATAAATCCTTTATTGACCAAGCTTGTTCGGTCAAGATGGCTGGATATTGGCTTCGTTCTTTTTTTGCGCGTTTATGGACCTCGACTCCGTCTCGGTCCATAAACACGCAAAAAAATAACTTGACCAATATCCAGCCATCTTGACCTCACACTTGGTCAATAACCCATATATTTTTTAACCAGGGTAGTAAATGTCCTTGCACTCTATTACAGGTTTTGTATAAGCGCGGAATTGCAGCAGGAATTCTACCATCTATACCTTACGCTGAGATTTTAACCTACTCATTCTCAACTGCCTTCCTCTTTCATGCGGTAAGGACATTATATATCTCTTCATCACATCTCTAGGGTGAATATCCATAACTCACATTTAGAAGCCAGTGATGAGGGTGCTGTCTAAAATGCCAGTTTTATGTCCACCTTTAGATTTTTAGAGAATGCACTCCTTCGACATTGTCACCGCATGGCACTTGGTTATGTGATACATACTTCCCTAAAATATTCTAGAATCCGTTTCTAGGAGCGAGACTCAAAGTTATGTTTCATAATATCTAGAAATGCAAAAATTTCAAAGGAAAGTCCAAATTGTTCCCGAACACGATTTCCAACCGCTAAGACGTGTAATAAGTATTTTATATCGAGGTTCCCTTCCCTCTCCCACCCGGGGAATTTTGTCGCCAACTGGTGCATATTAGCACTACTGACCGCCTGACTGAGGTATTCTAACAGTCATAATTTGTTGTTTTTTAGTGCGTCTGGGAAGTTCACAGTGTCCGGCCGTCCTACTGGCGTTACTTGAATGTCGTCACGGCCAAAAGGTTGGGGCAAACTCATTCCTCTGTTATGCATCACGCAAGTTTACAGAAAACGCAACGTGACTGTTTTGCAAGTGACTGAGCAGCGTATTATTACAGTGTGGTCTAATGAGACTCCCCAAAATAGAATCTTGAACGAAAATGAGACTAGGTCGATGTATAAAGAATGTACGAAATAGTACCGGGGTTTGATAGTTTCAGAGAGATGTTTAGCAACAGATAGGTAAAGAAGACTATAACCAGAAATTTTAATGAACATTTACGCGAATGATTTTAAAAATCACATTTCTAGAGTTTAAAGAAAGATTTCTATGCTTTCTACTGATACAAGTGTATAAATTTGATGTATACACTTGTCAAGTTATTTTAAAATGACTTTTAGGAGCTGCAAGGGAGGTTTCTGTGGGTTGTTTGGAACTACCCAACAAATATAAAATGACCCAACAGTGATATTACTTTTATAGAAACTTCGATCTAATTGAATGTACGTTGACGTTGGATTAAGTTAAATCTTATTTAGTTTTGAGTTAGATTTTTCAGTTCATAGTGCGCTTTATCAATGGCACCTTGTTTACCGCTAATCCCGCACCGAGATCTTTCGCTGTTCCTCTTAGCCGTGAGAGATCTGGGTTTAAGATTAGTCTAGTTGAAAGACTAAAATGTACACATGTCTGTGTGGTAGAAATAAAATCTATTTTTGTAATGTATATGTTGTCTCAATTGTAAACCGAGTTTGTGTTTATTGTCTGCACGCAGGTTTTGTGAGTTAAACAGAGAGAAGGCAGATGAGTTATTTGGTACAGACAGCGCCAGGTTATTTCCAAAGAAAGACTTGTACAAGTCGCTAAGGAGAAGGTAGCGGTATTGAAAGCAGTAGAATTTAGAATAAAGTGGAACTGAAAGGTTTTCATCTGAGTGTCGAAGGTAAACCTTAATTGTTTTGGTTTTGCTTTACTGCGCTTTGTGATTGGTTAAAAGAATTCGTGCCACCTGTTCAACCAATCAGATGGAAAATTTAAATCAATCACAACTTGGTCGCCCGCGTTTTCCAGCGCTTTGCGCCGGTCACGTGTATCTGCATCGACCTCTCATTGGTCATCGTGTGGTTATCGTCTGTTGTGGCTGACCAATGTAACTCGCACTCAGCTGAAAACTACTCCTCCTATAATATATAGAATACATGGCTACAAATCTATTTTAGTATTTAAAAAGAACGCTGGTAAAAATAACATGTAAGGGTAACCGGAGATTTGTTTCGTATTTTTTTTGCCCCCTGTACGGTCTGAAATGATAAGTCAATTATAAAAAAAACCCGGCTGCTTTGCCAGGTTTTTGTTGGAACTCGCGTTCGTAGAGTTTCGACGTTTATCAAGTTTCAAATTTTTTGTAGAACGTGGGAAGGCAATGAAGTTATATTCTATTTTAGCAAGTAGAGAATCACATTTACTCAAAATTTGAGCTATTCAGAATAGAATGTTAAAAATATTTTATACAGCAGTATGAACTTTAGTTGTAGTAGTATTGGCAACACACGCGTGCCAAGAACCATGAAAAAAATCAATTAATTAGCCATTTTATTTATTTATAACTTGACAAAATGGCAATTATACTATAACAATTGAATTGTTATTAAACCCAGTATTAATAGACTAATCTTTTAGAAGAATACTAACTGAATTAGCGCAATCTCTTAGTAAGTGGACATGAGTAATGAAGGCGACCATGGAAATGCATTACAATAATTGTACAGCTGTTTTCGAGAAAGTTTGTCCAACAGAAGAGTAAAAGCGTACGCGGCAATGTCGAAAGGTATTATGGGTAATAATTGTTCGCGGTTGCGTAAAAAAGGAGAAAGGTATTATGGGTAATGGTAGTTAAACCTTGACTTGATTGAAGCTCAAGGTGTTTCAGCGTGAAAGGAGGAAACATTACAAACACGTGTATTCGTGCTTTCTGCTTCCTCCTTGCCGAAACACCGTGAACCTCAAGCAACGATAAACTATAACTAACTATAATACCAGTATTGTCGCATACGTTTTAATGGTTTTGTGGGAAATCCTTTGTCTAAACAGCTGAAAACAAACTTGAAAATGTAGTTTTTACCTTGGCTAGCATTCCCAGTGTAACATTTGGCGAAAGAGTTTTCATCTCTTCTTTTTTATCCGCCCGTGATGAAATTTATTACAGATTTATCAAATCGTCGGTTACAGTTCTATTTTAAGTCTCAATCTTCCCCAATCTTAGCCATTTTTGTACCTTTGGTTTATTAGTAGATCTTAAGTGATACATTTTTTTTCCTTAGTGAAATCATTCCCAGTTTTGTTTCTATATGAAGGTAATTTTGTACGTGGGAAAAACAGCTTTGTATATTAATTAAATGAATGCGCGCGCTCTGATTTGTCAGTCAGCTATGGTTTATTGTGCCAGTAAACCCGTGGAAATTTCGCGTGTCTTCTGAATTATTTATATAAAAGCAATAGACCACAAGTTTCTATGGTTTAGAGACATGATAAACCACTTGGGATGTTGGAAGAACACTCGAAGAATTCGTAAATCATTCGCCTGCGGCTCGTGATTTACGAATTCTTCTCGTGTTCTTCCAACATCCCGCGTGGTTTATCAGCCTATAAACCATAAAAACCTTGTGGTCTATTGCTTAATAATTCGAAGGCGATTTCGTTCCAAGTACCTTCGTATCTTCGTTAATTTCACTGAGTTTCTAAAAAACGACAACAAACACTGTCCAGCAGTTCTTCAGCATTATTGTCAAAACGCTTGTCGAAATCACGGAACAAAAATTCAGAAGACAATGGAAAATAGCGTTTTTGCTTTGAACACCTATTTTCGTAATTGATAGTTATATATTTTTTGTAGTGATCTTTAGTGAATGAAATAAAAATCTCACGACTATCGTACGGAAATAGCTTTTTTATTGAAGAATTATGTGTCCTTTGTTCATTTGTAATTTTGTTCACTGATTGCTTGATTGATTGATCGATCGACGGTCGATTGATTGATGGTTTTTGGCCGGCTTATTGGCTGACTGATTGATTGATAGATTGATTGATTGATTATGTCATGCGAAAAGAACTAAACAGCAGAATGATGGCTTTCCACGTGCTTTATACATCTTGGTGGAATTTTAAGCCATTCTTCGCCAAAATACAAGGTAAAATTATAAAAATAGACCCACATCAGGGATTGCGGCTTTTGTTCGCGCAAGCTACTTGAATGTTTCTGATACTTTTAGTCATCTCCCAGCTTCCTAGCTTGCTCGAAGACTCTCCTACCACCTTAACACCTTCTTTTACTCTCATGTGGGCAGCACAACAGCTGAAAAATCGGTGTAAAATGAAAACCTTACAGGAAATTCAAGGAGTTACTTGTTTCGCAACAAATTTCGGGCGTGCTACCGTTGCCTGTTGCTGTATACGTGTGATTTTTATCGTGCCAGTGCGATGCGATCTTGGACGGAAACGGGTGGGATGGTCGCATGCATAATAGGGATTGAAGTAGATTTAAATACGGTTGTAAAGATTGTAACAGGATTACAATGAGTTTGAACCTGAGTTATTTACACCTTGGTACATTTAATAGACATCTTCGCATTAAAAGAGCGTGATATTTTCCCGTTCTTCGTTAGATGGAGGTGGTAAATTTTCGTTGTCGCTCTCTGGACTTGAAACTAACTCACATATTTCACTACAGCTTTTCCCAGAGACATACTCAACCTGTTTGAATAGTTAACGGCGATGCTTGAAAACCGAGTATTAATTATCAAAAGACGGCGTCTCTGGCGGGAATACTTAAATTCCCCATTTAACATAAGAAACGATGTTGATGGTTAATTTTCAGTCGAACACTCAAAAGTGGACGTCAACCTCCTAAACATCTTCCGAGTGCAGCTTAATCCATGCAATGAAATGACACCACACGGATAAAGAGAACATTTCTGACCTCCGTAAAATTTTGGCCCACGAGTTCCGTAACACTGCTCAACTCACACCTAACCTTTACGTTCCGAAGGCTCAGTTTAAGGACGTTCGCACTAATCCTCCGTAGGAAAAAAGATGGCGACTGGTACATTTACCCACAGTTCTTAGCGCACGACAACTTTAAAAACGTTTATGAAAACGTACAGAAAAGGTATAAAATCTTCAAACCCAGGCTACTCAATGTTCTTTGTACAGGGACAAATCTTATAAACATTTGGCTTTCTTAGTGCCTTATAGGCTGTGTTAGGTTCGCAAGGCATTGTGGTAAAATGTANCCCAGGCTACTCAATGTTCTTTGTACAGGGACAAATCTTATAAACATTTGGCTTTCTTAGTGCCTTATAGGCTGTGTTAGGTTCGCAAGGCATTGTGGTAAAATGTACAGCCGCCATCTTGGACGTTCGGTAACCCCTACTTTTCTTCCCAGAAACAGGTTTTATTTACAATTATCTTCACATTGTCCTAAAATGAACAAAAAACCGATGTGGGAAGTTAAAAAAAATTTTTCAAGTTTTCTGTCCACGGGACATCGAATCCTGCCATCTTGCGGCTGCAAGGCGCGTGAAACTATGGTCGCTAAATGCGAACTTGTTCTTTAAGAAACTTCACCAGTTGACTAAATTCACTTAATAGGTCCACTTAACAATATTTGGAAGAGAACATTTCACTTCAAAGATCTAATTGCAATATTTTTGGGCTTACAGACACTGTGGCCTTATTCGCCAACGAAGCCCGATTTTTTCAGATTTAGGCTGTTCTTCCGGGCATGTTCTCTCCAAAACGAAGTAGGTGACCCCCCATTGTTTTTCACATTTCTGACATAACTAAATCATAATCTTACAGTGGTAAAAGTCTCAGAAAAAAATCAGTGTTGGAAAGTTTTTGCGCGAACGTCCTTAAATAAGCCAGTTTCGATGTTGAGATGTAGACATTATTCTCTTATCTAGTACAGAAGACTTGGTTTGAAATTGTTTCCAACGTGAACATTAGTTGTTGATCGAGGTTGATTGACTTGACTGAGAATTTTAAAGGAAAGTTCATTAATACATTATTTTATTTTTCTGTCGTAATTTTTTTTTAAATTTTCATCTTTTATCTTTTAACTTACTAAACAAGTATAAGCTACGAGGTTGGACGGGATTAAATGATGGGTGTAACTTCACGGAAATGATTATCCAGGAAAGATTTGCTCCGGATACACTGAGTGGGTTTTAATCCCATTTTTCTGGGGATTACTTGAGCAACACCCATTATTGTTAACTTCTACATAAATTTTATTTTGTTATTTGTCGCTAACGTCATCCAAAAACTTGGTTAGTACATTTTACAAATGACAAACAATGTAAACTTTCAATCTCGCAGGATTACAGAAATAGTTTTTCAAGCACGTAACTAAATAGATGCAAATATGTGATTTTCTTTACAAAATAACTAAAAGAAAAACCTCAACTAAAGAAATTTTAGGGGCCTTTGATCGGACTAATAATTTTCTCAGAAGAGTTTCGGACGTTTAAAAGGAAATTTCAAACGAAGTTTTCCGATGCCATTGATTATCCCGTCAAAAGCCAAAAGGCGCCTATTTGCAAAAAAGTACTCCCAACTTTTGTCTCCCCGGCCGGCCGGGATAGTCCATCGTGAGATTTTCATATTCAGTGCCTCAAACTTGATCTTTTTACCGACGCCGCCTGAAAATGTCCTTATTTTGAATTCTTTGTGATATACCTCTCATTACTTTTTTGTTACGGAAAAAGAACAAGTCATTCTTTGGGCGAGCCTGCGTGAGAACACAAAAACAGCGCGCGCGTTTCGCTTTTCGCGCTCTGCGCCGCTGCAGGCTAAGCGCGCGTGGGAAAGTTTGCAACAGAGCGACCGTAGAGAGGAACTTGGGACGAGCCGAACAACAACAACAACAACAACAATCTTTATTTCGTGCCCAGAAAACTTTTACAGTAAAAATAAATACATGCAATGTGAAAAAATAACAATGAAAAACAGAGCACAGCCACTTAGAAATAGCTAAGGCTAATCGAGCTAAGTGGCTGGGCCAAGCGGGAAAAAAAATATTGCAATAAAGTTACAGAATATAAAACAGGACACGATTTCATTCACACACACACGCAGACACACACACACATACAGAGAACGAAAAAAGGAAAAAATGAGTGTGCACACAAAAAAAAAAAAATGAAAAATTAAAGTACATCAATGTACCAGTCAGTAGTTGAAGATAATCAATTCTTTTAAGAGATTTTTGAAGCAAGCACGACTCTTAGATTTAAGTGAGTCATCAGTGGAATTCCAAACTTTAGCACCGAAAAAACGCATGTTAAATTTGCCGTAATTAGTCCTAGCTTTTGGCAGATAGTATGAAATCTTACTCGCCAGTCTGGTTTGATATTGATGCACTTTGTTGATACTCTTAAAGAAATTATCAAAAATTAATGGCAGTCTATTAGAGTAATAGTCGTACATAAATAAAGCACTATATAAATATATTAAGTCACTTACTTTAAGTATTTGTAGGACTCCTCTCCTGATCAGAGCCCGAAGAGGCTCTGATCAGGAGAGGAGTAGAGTCGCCCGTATTCCCTTCCCTTTTGTCGTTCTTTCCTTGATGTCTGGGTTATCAGTACATCGAAGGCACTTGAAACATCAGTCGTTCCCGATTTTCAAAAATGTAACTCTTTGTTTTTCAAGTGTGTTATCCGAGCTTTGCCAGCTTTTAATTTGGTAGCAAACTTTGAACAAAACTTGTGTGCCATAGTACTTGCATTCTCGAAGCTTTCACAAACTTCTCTTGAATCGCTAAGTTAAAAATCTCTCTATAAATTATACATTTCTATTTATGCTGGTTTCATGAATATGAAGGTACACCACCCTGTCGCCTGTCGGAATCCTCTTTACGGCATATTGACATCGTATTCGTTGATTAATCCTGGGAGCTTTCGTGAGCTAATAAAATTTCACGAAATAGACGTTCTGGATTCAGCGACAACAGATGGCGCCATAATCTTGGCAAAGTGCTCTATCTTGATATTTTAGCCGGAAGACGATAAACCGCTGATATTTGAGGGCGCTCGCCGCGCCGCTCGCACGTTCCGATTGTCAGGGTCAGCACCAATACCGCTCTGTCCTCTTCTATCTTCCAGTTACTCACCACAAAATTAAAACTGAAACTGCGACAGGAAACGTGAAACAGAATTGGACCGTCAAGTCTCCAAAAATAGCGATTCCTTCTACTGAACAATACTGGCAAACAACCTCAACTGCGAGAACCCTTCAGTTGGTGGTCTCTAGTCGCCAAAATTTGTCATTAAATCCCGATCAGTGAATAACGCTTGTTTATTTACCGGTGGTGAAGTTTACTCGGCTAATTATCCTTTAATTGCTAATAAGGATGAAAATTTCACTTCTCCCTACTTTGTCAAGTAGAGAGGAGACCTTCTGACTGACACCGAATTCTCCGTACTTAACTAAAAATGAATATATGCCAACCAGTAAGGAGAATTCATATTGTGCTCTAAAGACTGTAAAAGCGAAGACTACATTTCAGTTTTTCGATGTCGAAACTAATGTAATAGTGACTCTTTCTTTCAAAATCAACATTCATGTGACGTGACTACAACTGGGTTCTGTTGCTCAAAGCAGAATTGTAATATCACTTTTCCGGGACGTTTCGCTGCAGTTTGAAGAGGTATCTACATTTGTTTTTTCACCTTGTCTCGCATTTAATTGTCCTTAACGAATCTTTTTGGTTCCTTTTGTTAATTAGCATTTTCTTTTATGAACTGAAGATTTGTTTTCGTGATAGTTCAACTCGACTTCATTTCCTAATGGATATGGTCTTCCCACACAAAGGAAAAAGCAAAGCCTGACGCCTGTGTTGCCAAAATAGAGTGCGCCTCGGGGATCTTTCAAAAGATTTGTCTGTTTTGAATCGTAGTACTTCTTTTGTTCGGTGTAAGCAATTCGAGGTAATCTTGAGATAAAAATAAAATGGATTTTAAATTACAATTAATGCCACCGTAGGGCTTAAGATGTTAAAGATATGCCTTAATGGCGAAAAAATATGCGAATAAGTAATCAAGTGTTTTAAACTGGTGTAGTGGAAGCCGCTTGAAGATGTTAAGAATAATAAAAGGTTTTTTAAGTTCAAGAAATCTATTGAAATCCGCTCTCATCCGATTTATTTCGATTAGTATAGAAGCTTTTTAGTGGCGGCGGATTTTCGAGTAGTCACCCTCGCTGTTTTTTGACAAAAGAATGCGAATACTAGGAATAAAGGATCATTTCTATCGTGTTTACATTTATCTCCCAATTGCACGGACGTGTATGTGGTTTCCTGAAACTAAGTTCGTATACGTGCAATTATTTACCGATCATGCAATAAATGTCGTAACTCGAGATATGAAAAGTGATAGTACAGGCAGTCAATTCTAATCGCTCCTAACTAAAGGAAGAGCTTGAAATCATCATTTTCGCCCTTGTTTTAAAATCTTTGCTGAAATTTTTATCGCTTATGCACATACGAACAACCGTCAAAGTGGAAACCAGATGATTAGAGTCCCCCAAAGGTCAAACTCTATCGATCGAACCAAATGTTTTATACCTGTTTTAGCTCTTTTCGTCAAGGAGGCATTCAGACCTTATAACAACAATCTCGAGTTCCGTTCTGATTGCCACTGATAGGTATTTTTGCCTTTTGTCGATATCTGCCGTCTTATTTTTTCGCCAAGAATAATATCACCCTTGGACAAGATGATATTGCCCTTGAGAGCGGAAACCATACGCCACTAGAGAAATATTTATGGGCAATGCAGTTTTGAGACCGGAGACACTTAAACAAGACGCGAGATGTGAAAGCTTCGGGGCTTGGCAAGCGACCTGTTTCGTGGTAGCCCCTTGAGCATGCACTTATCAAACGATTGTTTGAGTTGGTTTAAGAAATGATTAATTGGATTGAAATCAAAGAAGCCGGCTATATGCATGCCGTAGCTGGTCTTCGTTTCATCACAGTTGTGTTTTTGAAAATCTGCTCCACTCCCTCTTTCAGTTCACAGTAGTTTTGTCTGCGCGGTTTCAATATCGCGACATGTGGAATCTTTCGTAAATGCCCAAAACAAAAAAAAGCGTTGGTGGCAATATTTATTTCTCAATGACAGCTAAATGAAATATCTCATTGAAAAAAAAAAATCGCCGAGATCTCAGATAACATGAAAATCAAGCATAGCCGTCAATATTCCTAGAGGGACATAGACGATCTTAACATGAGGACGCCATACTTTCAAAGTGAAGGACTTTTTTATGCAGAAATGAAACCAAAAAACAAAGACGTATGCTGATAGTCTCAAGCTGTGAATGACTAATCTACGCGCATTAGCTGAATAGCACGATGAATTTTATATGTCAGATATAAATACTGTTTAATAATTGAAAGAAAAAGCATGGTAATTTACATTTCGGTAATACAAGCTCTGAAACTGGCGTTATCCGTGAACTTTTAGCTGTTAAACGGCGATAAGATTGGAAACGGCCAGCGCTGCAGCACATTACTAATATACCACGGCTGATTGCTTTTCTACATGTGAACCTGGCTCGAATTAAGCAATCAGGACTGTTGACAACCTAGAGAAAATATGAATTGCAAATACGTTCTTTTCAGTAATTACAATCGGCCCCTCCTGGGCGAAAAATCCACATAGCAAAAGTTAACAACTAACAACAACCATTCGCAGCATGAACTCTGCCAAAACACCGCTTACTGTTATCTTAGACCGTTTAAAAGTGTATTGTACAGTTAAAAGTCGTAAAATTTCTCGCCTCATTTAGTTAAGGAAACTCTTAACGCTGTTATCGCTCATAACCGAATCATTTGGCAAGACTCAGTTAAGGCGAGTGTTATTGTCCTTGTCTCGGGGCTAAAAGCGAAGTGAAACAACTTGCTATGAAGAATCTTCTTTCCAGACACAAGAATGTGCGTGAATTGTGCTTGTATCTTTTCTCTGTGTTTTGATGTTCAACAAACCTTTTCATCAACACGATTCTTTACTCAAGTGGAAGTAATTAAATCCGCAGGACATAACACGATCTCAAGTTTTGTTCCAGCGTCGTTTCGATGGAACGCCGCTAAATGTAATCTATTACGCGGGCACGGAGTCTGTGTGTTTTGAAGCTCTTTTGGTTTTCCCGTCGCGCTTTCTTACGTAGCATTTGTCGTTGAAGCAACCAGGCTCATTTTTCCTTCCTTCAAGGCGTGTTAATATCATAGTTCCTAATCTCGTAAATCGGCCATCTGAACCGTGTGAAGGTGTCAAATGCGTAACGCTGATCTGTTTTCTTTAAGGAAAATTTCTATCCGCGGCCTTCGCGGCAGTGTTTTTGTTTTCACCGCGCGGTCAGACGAGATATTTCCCCGTCTTTTTTTTCTCACACAGAAGCGCCCGCCGCAACACTGCTCGCTTTGCTCTGAGGCAAACTCGACAAAGGAACAGGCAGCGAGGTAACAGCTGTTGAAGAGCTTTGCGAGCAAGGGACTGGCGCGTTAAAAGCGTAGGTCATAGGGTTTGCTGCGCTCTTTTGATTCGATTTGAAACTGTTCGTCGACTGCTGTGATGTTAGGGGTTTCTTCTCGGCGGATTTCTCGGCACTCCCTTCGCATTTTTTCCGGTAAAACGTACGCCAAGACTGGCACGTTTTCGTAGACCAAATCCACATGTTCGATGTAATGCCGACCGCTAACAGCATAAAGTACTTTACGGTGAAAAGTTCTACACTAGGACCTTGTTCCTCCATGCATGCCTCGTCCCCTTGACATCGCAACACGTTCATTCTCCATCGCTCCATGTTTGCGTGCTCGTAGAAGTAGCAAGCGACCACGGAAGTGACGGGCACGGTGTACAAAATGGAAAACACCCCGATTCTGACCATCAACTTCTCGAGTTTGTTTGTGTCAGTCTCTTTGTTTTTCAAAACTGTGCGAATACGAAACAGCGCAATGAAGCCCGCCAAGAGAAATAGCGTTCCAACAATGAGATAAAAACATAACGGAGCGAGAACATACCCCCCGAGGTTTTTCTGGTCACTGTTGCCCACATAGCAGATCCCAGTTAGTTCATCAGCGTCTACTTTTCTCAGGATAAGCACGATGATGGTTTGTACAGCGGGCACAGTCCAGGCAACTACATGAAAAAACGTAGCCTTCGCTTCTATGGCTTCCTGTCCCCACTTCAATCCCGCGGCCAGAAACCAGGCAAATGTTAACGCCACCCACCAGAGCGCTGAAGCCATTCCGAAGTAATAGAGCATGAGAAAGACAACTGAGCAGCCAGCATGGTCTGCAATATTCATGCCTGCCGCGACCACATGATGGTTGGCCTTGTCGCAAATAATGTTCTCTGTGCCCGCTATTGCGCGCACTATGAAGGCGATCGAGTAGAGATTGTAACACAGGGACAAGAAAATAATTGGCCTTTCGGGGTATTTAAACCTTGTTGTGTCGATTGCGAACGTTAGGACGGTAAATGCAGTCGAAATGAAACAAAATATCGACCAGACCGTGACCCATGTCTCCACAAACCGTCTGTTGCTTGTAGTAAAGTACACGTCTTCTCCGCACTTAGGAACACACATGTCGTATTTCTCGACCGTGACAAACTTCGCAGCAAGAGGGTTTGTCGAGTCGTTTTTGCATAAAGAAGGAATGCTGACGGCCCCGATATCGGTTTGATTGGGTGATAGTTGGCCTGTATCTTTCCTTGTAGTCGGAGGAACTGTTGAGTGATCCCACGCTCCGGGTTTTTGTAATTGTTTCAACACTTCTTTGTATTTTGGATCCAAGGAGTCGAAATTATTCCAGAATTCCGTCATGTTCACGGATTGGTGTTTCAAGTCCGGAGCAGCCATGCACAATTTGCTAGGGTCGCTCTTGGCTCGTGGATCACCTTGGAACGGCATTTGACTGCAATCCAGTGTATCGGGCCAGTCAAACCCGAACTTCTTCATCACTGGTGTACAGCCATTGCGCGCAGCTTCGCACATCGATCTACAAGAGTAGATCGGATGATCAAGTCCTTCAGAGCACATCGGCGCGAACACAGAGCACAGAAAAAAACGCAACTGTGGCGCGCAGTTCACCGCCACGAGCGGAGTGAATTCGTGAATTTTTTCAGCCGCTTCTTTCTGTGTCTCCTGCCCAAAAAAATTGGGAAAACCCGTCGTGTTGTAGCCAAGGTTCGTGCAAAGTGGAATGGTGATTTTTTCACATTTTGATTTTTTCCCCTGTAATCCTGGCATACAGACGAGGAGTAAGGTGAACAGTGGACCCACAGAACGGCTCAAAAGCCACGTCGATCTCGTCGGTTGCTTCATCTCTTTGTTAAAAGACTGAACTAACAAGAAACTTATCCGTCACTTCACAGAGAAAAGCCGCAACTGCAAGTAATATCCATTGATGACTCTCATTCGTTATTTGCTTTGAAATTGTAAATGTCAAACCTCACCATGCCTGCTGCGCCTGTCGAACTGTCAATCACCTCTTTGTTTTCGAGACAGGTGGTCTGTTACCATGGCTCCTTCTCGTCGGAGAGCCAATCAGAATTATGTAAATCGGAATGAAAGGCTGCCGCAAAAATGAGCTAGATGAAAGCGCGACGACGCAATTTGCGGTCTTTGTCGGGGCGTTCTTAGCGATGTAATAATACACGTCCATCGGAAATTGTTCTGATTTTTAATATTCAGGAAGCGCTTCTGTTGGAGGTTTCAGCAAGTTATTAAAATGCATTTATGCCATGTTTTCCAATTATCACCGAAAAACGTTTTCCCTGAGGAATTCTAATTAACCTCTGTTTTGGATTCTGTTCATTGGTGATAAGGCCCGTTTCGAGCCAATTGCTTGCCAGGACGCAATCAAATGTTGCACGTCGTGTTTCTCTGACAACACAACAAGCGAGAAGGTTGTAAATGAAATCTTTGGATTCGTACGTTTAACAGCTCTTTGTCTCTGACTGTGTCAAATCAGTACGTTTTACCGAATAAGCGAGGCTCGAATTAAGAGGGTTAATGAACTCCTCGGTTTTTTTTTTTTTATGAGGTGTGTATGGAGATAAATTATGCTGTTCTGTTGTGCCACTTGTTATTATATTGTGGCGGGCGAGATCCTTTCTCTATTCTTGTCTGACAAGGCGTGACTTCAAAGACGGCTTTCAAAAAAATCTTTCCGCCTGAATAAACAACTAATTTTGTTGAACTGATTCCACACAAAGTGCGCAAATGAAATATGCGTGGCAACATTGTGAGCCTAATTGTCCAGAAAGCCCGTGCGATTAACGTTTTTCCCGCACGTATTTGCGATCAAACTTATTGCTATTTTCCAGCCTCTCTCTGCACCCTGTTCAATGTTCTTGGTATCGGTTTAATTGAGGCATTAAACTTGAATGAGAGCGCCAAGCCCGGGCAAACAAACGACCCTTAATTGAATACCGCCAAAGATTTCAAAGCACGATATTCTGTTGATAAATCCACGCTGATTGAAATTCATGTTGTGTCATTGATAAAACGCGCCGATTTCACGATCTGTCGTCCTGTGAGTCGCGTTGTTCCTAATTTGTTTTGATTCAAAACAAATCTTTGTTACTAAAAGGCTTCACAGAAAAGCCGATGTTTTGCCTCAGTCTTTTGTTTGTGATAAATTAGATCTTGATATATTTCTAAAGCAATCGCTTTGTTTTATTGTTTACAAGAATCCAATCTATATTTATACCCCGGAGAAAAGAAATTTTGAAAGCCAGAGTATAAATACCTTGCTTTAATTAAGACAGTTTATTTTGTTGTCGTGCAATGTCATGAAAGACGTAAAAAAAAGTTGGAAAGTCTTTGGTTTTGGCTTGTTAGCATTTGTTGGTTCTTTTTTTTTTCTATTTACTTTTTGGGAAGTTCAACATTAACTCTATAAACGAGTATTTTTCATGTCGCTCTCAACTAAAAAATATGAGAAACTTAACATTGTTTTTGTAAAAATAAATTCAGCTTCATGTTTTCCTCTAGCAAATAACACGGTGATTTAGAGTTCCGAAACGGAAAATAGTTATTGGAGAAAATTTGCACTTTGTAAACGTCCCGGCAACCAAATGTTCTTGAAGAAAAAAGGCGAACAAACAAGCAACCAGACAGATAAACAAATAAACAAATGAATAAACAGATGAGTAAATATATAAGCAATAGACAGAATATTGTGTAGAAAAATGAAAGTATAAACAAAGCAAAAACTAAATGTTGTTCGAAAATACTTTCAAATAGTTTGAAAACTTTTCTACCGTTATTCTGAGCTAGTTTGTAATATTGTAAAACCTTACCCTCACAAATATAACCCACATCAAATTTGAAGTGAATGAATAGCGAAAAAATCAAATAGGTTTATGCTATACTTAACAGTCAAGGCATGCAAGCTATTTAATAATTCAATTAATAAAATTAAAAAACGTTATCCTGGACTAATTATGGAATAGACAGGCTATAAAAGGTTAATTAGTCCCCCGGTGACAAATGAAAAGACAATTAACGATGCCAGTTTGTGACTTATTTGAACTTGAGCAACATTGATGTTGTCTTGGAGAAACAATTTTCTGTTATCAAAATACTCGTCCTTTGTTAGAGTTGAAGAATCTAAAACTTTTCTGTCAAAATGGCAAGGTTAGTTCGAGTAATTGAGCAGCAAAAGAGAAATGGAAAAAGGCAACTTCGATTTAAATACATACACAGATTAAATACTGCGCGTGCATAATATGAAAATAGACGAAAACAGAGAGGACCCAGAGAGAACACGTTGGAGTAATATTCATGCCCCAGGCAAAATCCCATGTCTGCCCTCTAATAAGAAAATTATCTACCCCATAGGTAGTCCCGCTCTCCGGTGGTTGTTATCAACACAAGGCATTTCGTGCACTGGTTTTATCTTATCAGTAATGATTCTTTAGCTGTGTTGAAATATGGAGTACAGGCAAATGTGTTCATATCAAAGTTTCTGATAACAGGAAGAAGACACTGAGCGCTGGTTGTATTCCTTGAATTCCGTTTCTTGAAAATGTTACCGGTGTGCTGAGGGAATATTTCGTAAGATTTCCCACTGATGCCGAAACAGATTGGAGTAAATCTCTGTTCTCCATCTTTGCGATAAAACCGGCAAGTCTTCGCTCTTTTCAGGTAACTCGTCAGCTAATTCCTTTTTTTCCTCTCTTTTTTCCTGTGTGGTTAACTTTGTTTTGACTTCAAGAGTAACATAGTCAAAACAGCTTCAATCTATGATTCCTATATGGCGGAATTGTGATAAAACCTGACAGCATACGAGCACAGTTGCAGACCATATGCTTCGCAGGCTTGTTTACCAAGGGCGAATTCTTTTGTCATCGATAAATTGGCTTGCGGTTATGCAGAAAGACTCTTGCCCTTCTTAACCAAGTTCTGTTTTTTATTAGAAAATTAGCGGTCGCGGTTTGGCAACATATCCCAGGCGCATGCTATCAATTGGTCGAGTACTTTTCGAAGTTTCTCAGACAAACTCGTCACTAAGTCGGATTAGTAACCTTGTGGAAATCAATATCTTTGTGAAACAACCAAGAGATTAGCTCTATGTTAGTAGTTTAGCAGCACTAACAAACAAGAAATATGTATTTAAACTGGACCGTTAATTTTGATCGTCTGTTTCCTCATTGGGTTTCGCACTTCCTTTGCAAACTAATATTCAAATTTTTTACAGGTTATTGTCTCAAAATTCAATAACTCTTCAAAGTTGTGCCCTCAATGTTCACGGAGGTAAATGACGTGACGGTGGAGTTCTCGCTTTGAATCTTCTACATTTTTCGTTGATATTTGTTGAACACAAGAGAAAGACAGAGAGAACAGTATTGGACATGTACAACAGTGGCGACAGTAACAATTTTTTTAGCGTTAACGTGACTTGAATTGGTTACTTCTGCCATGCAAAATTAATTATAAGCATTATAGTGTGTCGTATTTCCGTGCAGCCATGTTGTAACACTTAAATCAAGGTTCCTGTGAGCACGTTCAAGCAAGTTTCTAATCCGTGATGAAAATCATTGGTAGCAATTACCATGGCAGGTATCTCACCCTCTCTTACTATCCACTAAAACAAAATCAAATTTATCATCTGTCGTCTGTATTTTGTGTTGGTAGATAGTTAATCCCACATGAGGTATTTGTAGATAAGTAATTGCCTGCAGAAGTTCGAAGGCCACTAGCTAATAATTACAAAGTGACCACAAGAGACCATGATCTAACCTCATTTTCTCTTGGTGACCAGATCAACAACATCAAAAACAACATCAAATTTATCATCTGTCGTCTGTATTTTGTGTTGGTCGATAGTTAATCCCACATGAGGTATTTGGAGATAAGTAATTGCCTGCAGAAGTTCTGAGGTCACTAGCTAATAAATTTCAAAGTGACCAGATCTGGAAAACTGCGATCTCTTGAACTGACGCCAATAATTCCATCTGGTGCCGTCTCTCTTTTGTTGTGTTAAGAAACCGGACCTCACATTGCACCGACGCATCTGCTTTACTACGCATGCGTAGTCCATGAAATCAACAAAATTAACAGTTTTTAGTAACAAATTTTACCGCGAATTCAAGTAAACATGTTCACCCTTGGGACTATCTCCTTTAGCGAGATGGAAATCATTTTTTTATACAAGAAACTCTTCAGTACGTAGGGAGGCCTCAGTTTTAAATATGACCGCCTTGTTCGCTCGTGGAAAACACCGGTATGATTTTTTTTACTAAAGGCAAAATGTAGTGATCCTCATAGAGTTGACGCGCCCGCAGATTAGAAGATAAAGACGGTACATAAACTATTAATACTCCACATGTTCAAGATCTGTCTTTAAGTTCAACATGGTTTAAAATTATTTGTGCACAAAAGTTGTTTACTCAGTGGGGTATATTTCCCAAAACCACAATCAACTGAATTAAATCAGTGCTTTGCGAAACGGAATTCTCTTGACTGAATCAGGAAATCATCTACAATTCTGTTTATCCGGCGGAAACCTCTGCAGCTTCCAAAGAGGTCCTTTCTTTTTCTTTGTTTTTCTATCTGCGGTTTGAAAACATTGGTTACNGGGGGGGGGGGGGGGGGGGGGGGGGGGAGAGGGAGGGGCTGTAAAGTGGAATTCTCATGAAATGGAATAATACAAATCCAACAAAAATAATACCACCTCATCAAAGTACTTCGGCTTTTTAGCAGTCCATAATTGAGGTATTCCCCGACAAGTCCTCTGTTAATTACTGTAAACTTAACACTCCAATTTTAAATTTTCACGAAATCTTCACTTCTCCTTCCATCTCTTTCTCTTCTTTACCAATAGCTGGCTTTCATCATTAGATAGATAAAAGTTTTGTTTTCTATATGATTTAGCACGGTTGCCCATCGTTAATCCCCTCTAGATTTTTATGCAATCTGTAAAGGTGGTCAGTAGATAAGTAGAGAAAGGGCTCACAAACCATATCTAAACCTGAAGAAGGCTGGTGTGGCCAGTCGAAATATTGTTTTCAAATATTACATTATGTCAGCCTTGCAGTAGTATTTGACTTATCATCGTTTCACTTTTCATGTTTGGCTGAATAGATCTCCTGTGAGATCCAACGTTCAATCAAGCAGGATCTTCGTTCACGGCTTTGCAGTTTGTTTAGTCTTTTAAAATCAACGTTTTTTTGGATGACCTTCAGACGAGAAAGATGAAATATTCATTATGTCTCGAACATGGGACGAAGATAATATCTGAGTCCGGCATGACCTCCCAGATTCCGATCGGAAGATTATTTACTAGGTTTATACTAGTATGCAGCATACTAGCAGCAACGCCAGTTGAAAGAAAACTGAGATGTTGATGAGAGAAGATGTTACGGGACGAACCATTATTTTTTTGAGGGGGAGGGGAGGGGGGTGAGGGGGGCAGTTTCCCAAGAAAATTCCTACACAGCAAAAACTGCTGAACAAGCTATTGCCTACCAAAAAAAAGTAATAATAATCATGCACAACCTAAAGATGANGGTGGGAAGGGAGGTGTTAGGCAATTTTTGTAGCACTAAATTTTTTTCTCACCTAAGTTTTTACATAATTTTTTGGGGTGAGAAGCAGCTTGTGCAACAATTTTTTTCAGTGAAACACAGGAACTGGAAAGTAGAAAGCACTTGCTCGATTTTTTTCTTCCCCATGGCTTCCCTTGCACGATTTTTTTTCAGCAGTTTTTACTGTGCAGGAATTGTCCAACACCAGTCCGCCCCCCCCCTTCCCTCTTTCCGGTCAATAAAATAATGCCGGGTCAATACCTAAGATGTTGAGAAGCAGGGGGTAAATTCTTACTGAGTAACTAAAGTTAAGAGCAATTGTAGCTAATTGTACTAAGAGGAGTACAGTCGGCTCTGACAGACTTTGCTTATCTGTCCATTCCTGTTGCACATATAATAGGATTAAAATAGTAGATGCCAGAAACTATGATCTAGATATATAGTCTCTTGGTAGATGTATAACTCTTCAGACTAACCTAAAATGTTGAACAATTTTTGAAGATGAAGAAGACCAGCCCTCCCGCGGCGCGCTTTGATTGTAGCGCGAATCCATCATTAATTCAAGGGAAGGCGGAGTTTCATTTATCTTTACACTCCGACCAAGAG